TGTATTAAAGAATTCCCCAAGAAAGCAGCAAAAAAACAAAAAGGCTTCAGATTAACTGGTCTTCCTTTGAAATGTTATGGTGTCCCCCCCCCCCCAAAAGAAGCTATTCACTAAATTGGATAATCTCATGTTTCCTTTTGTGTGAAACTTTAGTAGTCAAAAGTGGACAAATATTGTTCTTCTGCGTTCTTCCCTAGAGGTTTTTTTATTTGTTTTTAAGTTCATGTGGGGCTTCCATTTGACCAAGATCAATGCTGACCATTCAATACATAAGAACTTGGCTAAATCAAAACCTTCCACTAAGGGGTGAAAGAACTACTGATTTATTTGTTCAGTGTATTTTACACTCTGTGATACATGAAACTCTTTAAAAAATGAGATTGCTATTTAATATTTTGGTTAAAATTTATACTATCATTGATGGTGAGTTTCAGGTGGAATGGTGGTTTTTATCTGTGCTTTGTATATTAGTCTGCTCTTTCTACAATTTGCTAGCTATCCTGTAGATAAGTTTAATATATTACAGTTTTTTTTAATTCCAATATTTTAAATTGTTCCATATTAAAAATCCTGGCAATCAGATGGGAATAATCAGGGATTACCAGCATTATCCTCACCATTTCGGATATTTTTTATAAATTAATTGTGGGTCAATTTTAAGCCCCACTTCTACCTTTTGTAACATCATTCTGTATGTAAACTTGCTGCACATACACTTTCGTTCTTGTGTACAGAGGTTTTAATAAATGAGTTTTCATATAAATAATTTAAAAAATGGTTGATTCTCAAGCATCAAGGTTCTAGTAAGAAACCTGTTACTTTAGCTACATGAAAACTTAGTTCATTTAGATGTTGTTTGATTTGTCAGCTTTGTAAATCACTATGCATACTTAGAAAAATTAATTGAAAAATGAGAATGTAGTTTAGAAAACTTGTGCTTTTTCCATAAAATAACATTTAACTATTATCTATTTTAAGCAATTACTTAGAATCTGGGGGTTAGAAGGTGTCACGAGCCATCTAGGCTAGCCCACGCCAAGATGCAGGATTTATCTCTAAAACAGTCATTCTCAAACTGTGGATCAGGGCTCTGAAGTGGGTCACATCCCTGTTTTAATGGGGTCACCGGGGCCCCGTTGTTTAACTTGCTAGGGCTGAAGCCCAAGGGCTTTAGACCTGAGTAGCAGATTTATGCTTTGGTTACAGTCCTGAATGGAGGAGCTTAGGTTACAGGCCCCCTGCCTGAGTCTGAAGCCTTTGGGCCTCAAGTTTTGGCTTTGCCCCATCTTGTCTGGAGTCGTGGGGCTTTGGTGGGCTCAGGCTTCAGTCCCGTGTTCTGGGGTCATGCAATAATTTTTGTTGTCAGAAGGGGATCATGCTGCAATGAACTTTGAAAACCTTTGTTCTAAACCAGGGTTCAGCAACTTTTTCAAACCAAAGAGCCAAACTACATCAAAATTTGGAGCAAGTGGTCAACAGAGAGCCTGTTTAAGAATGCCCATGTACATGACTGAAAATATACAACTTAATATTATTACTTGACATAATGATTAATTTTAGAATAAATGAAACATACTCACAGATTTTATTTAATGGGACTTCTGCTGCTGCTGAGGGTGCAGTTTGTGGATGTGGGGATGCAGGAAGTCAAAGTTAGCGTGTATGAAGGGCTCAGGGAAGGAAGCTAAGGTATGTAGGAGGTGCTGGAGACAAGGCAGGGCACTGGGGTTGGGAAGTAGAGTATGGGGGTGGGGCTGGATTACCTTACCTAGCCAGGGCTGTGCTACTGCACCCTAGCCAGGGTTGTGCTGCTGCACCCAGGCAGCAATAGCTGGACAAGGGTTTGGGCCAGGATCACCACAGCTGGTTTGTGACTTCCCCTCCTTTCCCTGTTGCAGCAGAAGGGTGGCTGCCCCCACCAGCCCTCTTCCTGGGGTCAGGGACAGGAGGCTGTGGCCAGATGGGGACTGGGCACTTTTACTTTCTCAAGTTAGTTCATCAACATTCATTTTAAATAAAGTAAAATATTATGTCCAACACAAAAGGTTTCAACATTGTCTTTATTTATAGTAGGAGTGGGGAACCTTTATTGGGTCAAGGGAGACCGACCCATGGGAAAATTAGTCAGGGACCACATAAGTGAGAAGTGAACAGAAAAAAAAACCCTCCAGACACCCCCCAACTGTCACTGATGTGGCCTTCAACTGAGACACCTCACTCCCCTGGTCCTACAGCCCCATGGTGTGAGGGGAGGAGCAAGGAGGAATGAGATTCAAGGCCTTGTGCCGGATTAACTCTTCTGGGTTTCCAGGGTTAGTGGATTTTGAGGGCCCCCCTACACTCTGGTGTGGAGCCAAAAATGAGGGGTCCAGTGTGCAAGACAGAGCTGCTAGTGAGAGGGATGGGGATGCAGGAGATGGGGTTCAGTAAGGGGTGACAGTACAAGATCTGGGTGGGAGGTAGGGTGAGGGGGTAGGCTGGACATAGGATGTCTGGCCAGTGAGAGGGGCCAGGAGCAGGCTGATGTTGTGGGGTCTTGGCACAGGAAGTGGGCAGGGGGTTGATGGCACTTACTTGCTTTTGTGCCCCATGTTGTTCTCAGGCTCCCTGTCCAAGGCATGACGTCCTACTGCTCCTTTTGGTCTAATTCTGTCCAATGGGAGCAAAGGGGAAAGCCTCATGGCAGCGTGTCTGTGCTACTGTTCTCCCAGCTGAGGGAAGGGAGTAGCAGTGCCGCTTCCCTGGTCCCACAGCAAGGCTTGGGGATTTCTCCACCTCACGCCACCTCTCCCCCATCAGGAAGCCAGTGCTGGCTCCAGTTTTGCAGGAAGCCTGAGGTTGAAGTGCCAGCACAGGCTCCCCATTGGGGAAGGGAAGAGCAAGAGGGGGCTGAGCTTGAGCTGCGAGCCATATTTGACTCCTAATGAGCCATAGGTTGCTGACACTTCGTCTAAACCATCCAAAACAGATGGCTATCGCCTCCTTTTGAAGACCCCCAGTGAAGAAGCTTCTATGAGCAGTCTGTTCCATTGTCCTATTGTTCTTACAGTTAGGAAGTTTTTTTCTTGAGATTGAAATTAAGTCTTCTATACTGTACTTTGAACCTATTGCTTTTTCTCTTGATTTCTGAGAACTACTTGTACTTTAGTTATAAAGTTGTAATAATTTTGAAAAATGTCTGCTGGGTTATCAGTCATTCTAAATTCTCTTTAATCTACTGTTTTATCAATAAGTTTTAAAAATATATATATTTTTATGAAGGACTTACAGATGGTTTGGCTGTGCCTTGTAGCTGCATAGCAGAAGGCGCACTTAACAAAACTTTGACTAGCTTACTAACAATATTCATCAGTGTTGGCAATCTATTTGTGCTGTATAAATGTGTGTGTTTGTGTTGGAGAGTGGGGGAGTGAAATCAGTAGCCAAATAAGAATAGAGGAAGTAGTTCTTATTTCCAAGACTTTTTGAATCTATTTCAAAAAGGAGGAATAACAAAACTTGGAAACTAATATTAATTATTTGTTTTAACAAATACTGGTGAAAGATGTTGGCAGAAGCTTTGGAGCCCTCAGTCCTCTACCCACAGAATCATATACAGGATAAACAAGCTTTCCAGACCATCCTTTGATGCATTAAACAGTTTTTTCAGTTTTATTTTTACCGTCAAGTATTTTTCAAATCAGGAAAAATTAGGCTGGGTTAGTATGAGTTATATTTTTTTTCAAAGCCCTTCTGAAAGATTTTCTTTAGTAGAGGAGTATGTAATAGGAAGAAGAATGCTAGTTGGTTTGAACTGTCAAGTGCTATGATTGGACTACTTTAGCTGTAGAAAGCAATAATAAAAAGTTAGCATTGGCACTTCATTAAAATGTTCCAAACTGAGTGATTTGTTTCTAAACTTTGCCTGAGGTAGGACGGGGAAGGGCTTGGAATATCACATTATAGAACAGGAAAGAATTTACACATTTCCTTTCCGAAATAGGTGAAGATATGTGCACTTGCCCTGTGAAATTGCAGGTTACAGAGATTTGTTTGTGTAGGTTTTTCTCTTGCAGTTCCTTACTGCCTTTGCAAACTTGTGAAACATACTAACCAGAATCCTCATTAGCCATTCAGAGGCTGGATGCTGCATGTGAGTCAGACAAATGATGCAGGAAAAGGTGTGAGGTAATCAAGACCTATAATGTACACACCTTGGGTGTGTTGAGGCACTTATGCCTTGAATATTCACTGGCAATTCTTGAATCTCTTCCCACACCTAGAAGGCATTTTATATCACTTGTGAAATTTTACTTTAACTTGACATGTGGCCTAACTTTATTTTTATATACATACATACATACATACATACATACATATATATTTAGTGAAACATTATGTTCAAAATTGTTTGAATTATACTTAAAACAAACCTTTAACACTATTTGACCTGTAAACAGTGTATATTCTGTATGTTGACAATAAATCCATTGTGCCATTTTAACAGCTGAGAATAGAAAATTATTCTATAAAACATAATTTTATAGGTTTTATTCATTCAAAAGGAAAATCATTAGTTTACCTCTTTATTTAAAAACATAAATATATGAGTGGTTTGTAGAGATGAACGCTTTCCTATCTGCTGCAAATAAGCATGTTTGAGATTTGCTCTTTGGAAGATGATAGACTGAAGTTGCTCTTCTGATGAAATTAATAAGATCTCAGGGACTCTAAGAGTAGCTCTTGAGCCCTCTCTGAACTATGCGCCTGTGCAGTACATTTACATTGGATTTCCTCATTTGAGGAGCAGCTACTCACTGAGCAACAACACAGGTGAGTAGCTGCGAGGAATGGTGGGAGCTGGGAGGTCGGGAGGGCTGAAACACCCCAGCCAGCTGAC